GCTCTTTGTAGATGAACCTCTCTGTGCTGTGCTTATTCTTGTAAGTACCTCATAATTAATAGAAATTAATGGGGCTTCCAACCCTAATGTACCATGCACTTTCAACTTGACCCACTTCTCTCTCTCTCGCTCTCTCTCTCTCTCTCTCTCTCTCTCTCTCTCTCTCTCTCGCTCTCTCTCCTCCCTCTCTCTCTGTTCTCCCTCACCAACACGCACTCGCGTGTCGCGTGCGGTTGCGGGGAAGTCCCAGCCACGAAGCAGCTCGCTACGTCCACTTCTCTCAGCTCGAGGTGTGTCCGAAAAATCGTTCGGTCAGCGGTCGATCGGTCAGTCGGTCGGTCGGCCGTGATTGACCAGCCTCGCAAAGAAACCAACCAATGCCGAACCACCGATCGACCGACCGGTCCCGCTCCACCTGAGCTTGCAAAATGGTACTTTGGTTTAAAATTATATTGAAAACAATTTAAATCTATATTTGAAAAATATATAATCTTGTTCACACAGGATTCTTTAACTATCTAAATGTCCGCTAGAAGACCGGGGCCGTGGCGGCGGCGTGCTTGCGCATGTGCTTCTTGAGGTGGTGGCTGCGACGCGCGCGGTGCGGGCAGAGGGGGCAGGGGAAGGACGGCGCCGTGCCGCACTCGAAGCGCATGTGGCCCGAAAGGCTCTGCCGCCAGCGGTAGCCCTTCCCGCAGCGAGGGCAGTGGTGCTGGTGCGGCTCGAGCGCGCCGTCCTCGGGGAAGGCGCCGCCGTGGGGGAAGCCGGGCTCGAGGTAAGCGCCGACAGCGTCTTGGACTCCACCGCTAAAGAGCCGATCACCTGCGTGGCACGGGACATACACGTGAGGCAAGGGCAAGGGTACAATAGCAATCGTAACAAATTGATGGGGCATGTCACTGAAAAAATGCGGCAGAAAGAGGTGGGAGGTGGGCCAGGGAGGGCAGGGAAACAGAGAACACAGAGATGAAGAGTGCGTCGGTCTGTTTATTTCACAGCTGTCCATTGAGCGAGCCCATGGGCTTGCCGTGCGACACCTGAGCCTGCTGCCCGTGCGTGAACATGTAGTGGCGCTTGAGGTTGTTGGACTGCGTGTAGGTGACCCCGCACACGGTGCAGCGGTAGGGCCGCTCGCCCGTGTGCGTCATGAAGTGCCTCTTGAGGTTGCTGGTGGACGACACGACCACGCCGCACGTGCTGCACTGCAGGGGGTTGCCGGTGGCGGGCTGGGGCGCCGCCGGCAGCGGCAGGGGCAGCAGCAGACCTGTAAACGCACCACGGTCGTTAGTTCCACAACACCACGCAAGAAGGAGCAACATGTTAAACGGAAACACAAACATTGCAACTGGAAGTAAAGGTACATGTGAAAGTTCAGTATTTTGTTTATTTGAGTGTCAAACAAAATACAGAATAACTTTGTGCTGGCGTGCGGAACACATTATTCAGCAGATACGCCGAGTGAGTAATCTAGTTTTGGTGACGCCGTCTCCTAAAGCTAATGACTCGGACGCCCTACTCGCGGGGGCGCGCGCCGCCGCCGTGGCCTTGGCCGTGGCGCTTGCGCGCGTGGCGTTTGAGGTGCGAGCTCTGGCGGAAGCTCTGGCCGCAGTCCGGACAGGCGAGCGGCTTCCGCTGCGAGTGCGAGAGCGCGTGCCGGCTGAGGTAGTCGGTGCGCGAGAAGCCCACGCCGCACTCGCCGCACTTGTAGGGCCGCTCGCGCGTGTGCGTCAGCTGGTGGCGCTTCAGGTTGCTGGGCGTCGAGAAGAGCGCGCGGCACACGACGCAGCGCAGCGGCTCCTCCGGGTCCAGCTCCAGCACCTCTACGCAACAGACAAGGCAGCCGTTAGAGTGGCCTCCTGGGCGGCGAAGAGTCGTGTGTGGGCGTGGCGTGGGTGGGTGGGCTTCGCGGAGGGGTTGCTAAGGACACGCGGAGAGTGGCGACAGAAAACACGTTTAATTCTCAAAAGGACAGGTGGGTAGTGTCGGGGCCCGACCCGGGCGTCACCGCGGGAAGTGGCGCTTGGTGTGCTGCTTGAGGTGCGCGCTCTGGCGGAAGGACACGCCGCAAATGAGGCAGGGGAAGGGCTTGGCGTTGGCGTGGATCAGCAGGTGGCGGCCCAGGTCGCCCCTCTTGGTGAAGGCCATCTCGCACTCGCCGCACTTGTAGGGCCGCTCGCCCGTGTGGCTGCGGTAGTGCATCTTGAGCGAGTTCTTGGTCGAGAGCACCCGGAAGCAGATGTCGCACTGGTTGTCCTCGATGCGCACCAGACGCTGCGACTCCTCGTCCAGAACGTACCGCCCGGACTCGGGCAGCTGTACGCTCCCCCGACCGTCTCCTGAACAGAACGTACTATGTTAGCGATAAGCAAAATTGCATCACGATGCAGACGCGCTGTGTGGTTGAGACGGGTTTGCTTTCAAAAGTTTCGTTTAAAAGTCTCGGGGAGAAACAGAGAACAACATACAATTCACGTAAACCTTTTAATAAGACAACAATCAAATAAACAATCAATAAATAAAATAAATGAAACTGAACAAAAAAATAATGATAACTATATTAGATTAATTCATTGCCGCATGGCCCGTGGGGGAGGTGAATCCTCAACAAATACCCAACGGCCCCCGGGCCGCGGGTTCGGCGCCGCCACCTCATTGCGTGCCCCTCCTGGTCTCTTAAGCAAGTAGCGCCAGCAGGCCCGCTGGGCTACGCCCGCACTCCGTTGCACGCCTGCGGTCCGGCCAGGGGGTCGTCCACGGCGGCGCCCTCCAGCAGGGCGTCCAGGTCCAGGGGGTGCCAGGGAGGGTCGCCCGGGTGCTCGTCCCGGTGGCCGTCCTCGGGGTCGCCTGGGGGCCCGTCCGCGTCCCTCAGGTGGTGGATGTGGGGCTGGCAGCGGCACCACGGGGAGCACCACGGGGCGCCGTGAAGCAGCACAGCGGGCGGCGTGCTCCTCCTCGCAGTGCGCCGCCAGGTCGCAGTGTTTAGCGAACACGCGGCCTCCAGGGCAGGCCACGCACCTGAACCGCTCCCCTTGCGGCCCCCGGTGGCGACTATTGACGTGGGCCCGTATCTCGGGGACACGGGCCCAACACACAAAACAAAACGCGGGGGCCACGGAGGCCGTTGCGGCCACTGTGGCCGTTGGGGCCGTGGCGGCTGTGGGTGCCACGGGGGCGGCGGGGGCCATGGTGGTGGCGGGGGCCATGGTGGTGGCGGGGGCCATGGCGGCAGCGGGGGCCATGGGGACGGCGGGGGCCATGGGGGGCGGAGTGGCTGCTTCCTCAATGCGCGTCTCAAAAATGGACGCGAGAACGCCAGCCAGCCACGAGACAGGCCCCTCAGCGTCCTCACCAACGTGCTCTCCTGGACAAGGAAGGAAAGGAACGTTTTAGCAAACTAAGATCGAAACAAGGAGCCACTATCTGGTTTCCTATTTAAGACTCACCGCTGTTCTCCGTCAGTGACGTTCGTATGACGTTGGAGAATTTGGTGATGAGTTGGGACTGGGGCGGGGACTTGGGTTGGGGTTGGGATTGGGAGCCACCGGCCACCTGAAGCAGAGCACGCAAACGGACATCTACAAATCGCTCTCGACCTTGCTCTCGCTCTCGCTCTCTCTACATCCCTCGCTTCCTATCC